GGAAAGCCAAAAGCAATGAGCTGCTTCTTGAACCACACCTCTGACTGTCTCTTGGCTGCTGCTGCTATGCCAAAAAGGAAGAGAACAGCTTCGAGGACAGCATGCGGCCTGTGGGCCATGTGTTGTGCAGGCCAGCTCTGTTAGTAGTTAGAGAAGGAGAAAACAGAAAACGCTTTGATAAGCTGGAAGCCAATACTGCTAATGTAGTATATGAAAGCACATGCAGATTCAGGGAAGAAGAGACACATGAAAAAAAACTGTATTGGGGAAAACACAAACTAATGAGGTCAGGAGACTATTAATCAATAGGAAACTAGTTAGTAACAACAGAAAAGGCCGATGGGGGGCAATGAAAGGTTGGCTAACAGCAAAGACCTTTGAGGTAGGAGGAGTGGAAGGAAGAGGCAGAGAGATATTTTTCAGAAAGGAAGAAAGAAGAAATAGATCCATGGCCACTTCAAAAATCCCGCCTCTTCCGAACTGTACCAAGGATTTTTACTCTTTTTTTCCCCACTGCAAACTGAGCATTGCCATTAATTGCATCTTCACCACTAAGTTAACCCCAATGAGGTGTTCTAGATCTCATAAAATATTCTTCAACACATACTAATGAAATCTCAAAGTCAGTAATATCTGTTCTGCAGAAATGTTGACCACTAGTCACCTACATTATTTACAATCAAAGAAGCACATGCCCTCCCCAATTCATCATGACACAATCCACTTTTACTTCCCTTCCTTTCGCTGCTTCCTTAACACCGTAACACAGATTATGTACTGCACACAAAAATATAATGATTGCAAAATTTGGATATAGCTTTGCTTAAGGCCATTTGGCTCCATTACATATTACCGACTCTGTCTATCTTTGCTAGTTTGAAGCCAGTTGAGCAACTTGAACCAAGCTTTCCACAGGTGGTCATTAACTCCATTCCAGCTGTAGAGGTTAGTTTCAAAAACTCTGGGGTCCCTAGTTTGCCAGCACTGTTGGGGGGGGGGGGGGGCGAGGGGACAGTGTTTGTTTAATTGCCATCCTTCTTCTTCCCATGTCTCTATAAAATGCAGACTACTTTCTTCTTTCATAAGGAAAGCATTCCACAAAGTTGGATGCAATAATTGTAACCCGCACAGGAAAGCGCACTGCCAACTAACAGCCTTCACGAGAAGGATGTGAACAGCATGCAGGAGTAAGGCATGGAATCATAAGATGAACATTTAATCCACTATCAAATGGATGCTCATTATGCATGCACCATGCATCTTGTGCCCTGAATAAGTCCCACTTATAATATTCCCACTGAAAAAATATACAGTGTTATCAGGAATACATCTCAATACATAACCTCAAGGCTGCTGTGGTGGGTTGACCCTGGCTGGACACATGGTGCCCACCAAAGCCACTCCATCACCCCCCTCCTCAACTGGACAGGGGAGAGAAAATATAATGAAAGGCTCGTGGGTCGAGATAAGGACAGGGAACGATCATTCACTGATTACTGTCACGGGCGAAACAGACTCGACTTGGGGAAATTAGCTTAATTCATTATCAATGAAATCAGAGTAGGGTAATGAGAAATGAAAACTAAATCTTAAAAACACCTTCCGACCACCCCTCCCTTCTTCCTGGGCTTAACCTCACTCCCGATTTTCTCCACCTCTTTCCCCCGAGTGGCGTAGGGGGACGGAGAATGGGGGTTGCAGTCAGTTCATCACTCCTTGTCTCTGCCGCTCCTTCCTCCTCAGGGGGAGGACCCCTCACACTCTGCCCCTGCTCCAGCAGGAGGTCCCTCCCATGGGAGAAGTCCTCCACAAACTTCTCCAACGTGAGTCCTTCCCACGGGCTGCAGTTCTTCACGAACTGCTCCAGCGAGGGTCTCTGCCACAAGGTACAGTCCTTCAGGAACAGACTGTTCCAACGTGTGTCCCCTGTGGGGTCATAAGTCCTGCCAGCAAACCTGCTCCAGTCTGGGCTCCTCTCTCCATGGGTCCAGAGGTCCTGCCAGGAGCCTGCTCCAGTGCAGGCTTTCCACAGGGTCACAGCCTCCTTCAGGCATTGACCTGGTCCGGCATGGGGTCCTCCACAGGCTGCAGGTGGATATCTGCTCCAGCGTTAACCTCCATGGGCTGCAGGAGGCCAGCCTGCCTCACCATGGTCTTCACCATGGGCTGCAGGGGAATCTCTGCTCCAGTGCCTGAAGCAACTCCTGCCCCTCCTTCTTCACTGGCCTTGGTGTCTGCAGGGTTGTTCCTCACATATTCTCACTCCTCTCTCCAGCTGCACTGTCTGTGTCTAGGGGTTTTTTTTTTCCCCCCTTCTTAAATATGTTATCCCAGAGGTGCTACCACTATCACTGATAGGCTCAGCCTTGGCCAGCGCTGGGTCTGTCTCGAGCCAGCTGACATTGGCTCTATCGGACATGGGGGAAGCTTCTAGCAGTTTCTCACAGAAGCCACCCCTGTAGCCTCCCTGCTACCAAAACCTTGCCAAGTGAACCCAATACAGCTGCACTGGTAACCTAAATTTAACATTTCTTAACATCTAACTGTATCTTATTAGTGTTTTTCTAGCAGTGCGTTTATTTGTGTGTTTGTGCAATTTCCCAGTTTTAAAAAAACAAGCTGAAAAAGTTTCCTCATGTTGCATCACTGATGCATCTATCTGTGAACTGCACAGATCCACCAGAGATAACTAAGTAACTCATAAATGGAACTGATGTTTTCATTTGCAAAAGCAAACCTGAGAGGCTAATGAGATATTTTACAGAAGACTCCTGATGTTTCATCGATGGCAGAACACTAAATTTTCAGTATCTTTAGTTTTATTCAAGGACCCGGAGAGAAATAGGTACATGGATTTGTTCTCTCCATGCTACCTTGCCCCAACTTTGCATTATGCCAACTTGTTTCTTTGTCCCAATTTCTGTATTTTTCACTTGTGCAATTCCAGTCCCCATTCTGCGAGCATCCCACCAACATCTCCTCTTGGCTTCAGTCCCTTTGCTCA